CCATCTTGGGCGTTCGACTATTTAAAATTTTTTTTTTTTGCACTGGACGCCCAACTCGGGCGCCCAAATGCAGCTTGCACGCCCAACTTGGGCGTGCACTGCATAAACGGGCGCCCAAGTTGGGCTTTTACGCATTTTAGGGGGTTTTTGGATTGTTTTGGAAAGTTTTGGGGGTTTTAGTGTAATAAAATATTTTTTTGGGGGGTTTTGTCGAAAACCGCAAATAGCAATTTTCAAACCGCAAAAAGCAATTCCCATATTAAAACATAGTACGGTAAAAAAAATGAAATGCTATTTGCTGGCACAAAATTGTTATTCGCGGTTTGTAACAAAACACCCAAATTTTTTTACAAATATTAAAAAACCCCCAAAACTGCAAATAGCAAAAGAAAAAAAAATTCGAAAATTCGAAATCAAGCTTGAAGAAATGTTGGGCTTCGATTTTTTGATGTAATTTCGACTCATGTGTAATAAGCATTGGGTAGGTCGATTACGGAACCAATTTGCGGTTTGAAAATTGAGGTTTTTTGGAGGGGTTTTGTAAATTGTAAAACTTCTGTAATTAATACTAAATAAATTAATAACCTCAATTAAATAATAGTTTCTTTCGGTCCCGACTCGGTGAAAATATATTAAATTAATAACCCGATAATTTAATAATTCGCTCAATTAATAGAATTTCTCTAGTCCCGATTGTATTGATTTAGAGAGGTTTAAGAGCAACTCCAATGCTAAATATCAAAATTGGATTATCAAATGCTCATTTGATATTTATGATAATATTTTAAAATACATTTAAAACTAATCTACTCCAACCACGGTAATTAAATTTTATTGTCAATTGGAAGTTTTTTGATAATTTTATATGCAATTGCCACATGTCAAATTCTGATTGGTTGGTTAGGTGGTTATTTTTTTGATAACTCAATCTGCAGGAAGTATTTTTAGATTCAAAGACGTGAAATATCAAAATACAAACCCATTTTAATAACCCCTTTGGAGAACACAATTTTTAAATTTTAGGAGTCAAATGGTAGTTAAGAGATTTGATAACTCATTTAATAACTCCATTGGAGTTGCTCTAAGTGTTATTAATAATATAGAAAATAGAAAATAGAAATTTGCAGAATATTGTAGAAATAAAAAAGAAAAAGAAAAGGATAATTCCAATTATAACCCTGAGATGGACACTACATAAAGAAAGAAAAGCAAATAGTGATGACACCAAAAGAGTCTATTCACACTTCAAAAAACTGCCCTCACAATTCAACGAAGAATCTTCACACACAAAACACACACGAGGTAGGGTTTTGCAATTTACAGTTTTCTCACACTGAATTAAAATTTGCACTATTTAAATCTCTCGGTTTGATGTTTGTTCCTTCTCCCTGAAAACTCTCGACAGGAAGCAGAACCCTCGTCTCAAGTCTCCGCCTTTTCCACCGCCGCCGCCGACCGCGGCGCCGCGAAGAGCGTAATAAGATGTCGGCTCCTGAAGATATGGCGGCCTGCGATGAAAAAATTGGGGATGAAGCGAACCACCAGAACGGCGACGCCGTAACGGCGCCGTTCGATCTCAATGACTACACCGTAATCAAGGAAGGGGAGGCTGAGATTCTAATGCACGTGAAAAATGAAGTCTTTTATAACAGAACCCAGGTTTTTTAAAGATCTTATCTCGTTAATTTACTTTGATTCTTACTTTTGCTAGTTAAATATTGGTTTTTTCGTGCTCTGTATTTTAATTAGGTGATTTTTGTAGGCTACATTAATCCGATTAAGAGTAGATGGGTTCTTCTGCTCAGGTTAAATGAGTAATGATTAATGGCTAATGGCTTAGCTCATGCTTTTGTAATTAGGCTGGATTAAGATTACATAAGAAAAGTTGGTAGTTTTCGAGTGTTTGCTCTAGTTATGGTAATTTGGCGATTCTGTCGAATTCGTAGCAACTTCAAGTTTGTTCTAGTGGTTGATTTACCTTACTTTTGGTTGAGCTTTGAAAAAAATGTGATGCCAGGTTAATAACAGGGACATGTCTATTGCTGTTTTGAGGACATTTATGTCGAAACGCAAACAAGAGCACGAAGCAAAGGCGACAAGGAAAATGAAAGCTGGACCCAAGGTTGCAGTGGAACCTACCGTCGAACCGGAAGCTCTTACAGATACGGTAATGGATGATGGGACATCTAACGGTGAATGTGAAGTCTCTGAAGAGATATCTCAAGATGAACCCTGTAGTATCTCGGAAGATCCAACCGCAAAGCAAGAAGGAAAAGGGCGGGGAGAAGTGAAACCACCTCGAGTTTTGGAGGTTATATAATTAATTTCATGTTTTTTTAATATGTTCTTACTCTTGGGGGAAAACTAGCCGTTGGTATTCAAATCTTGATGTGTAAGCGGCTTATACTTCTTCACTTGTTTGTTTTTGGCAGGCGCTGTCGGCTTCTGGACTCAGGGCTTTAAGATATGCTCGTGAGGTAGATGGAATTGGTCAAGTTGTGGCCCTCGACAATGATAAGGGTAAATGCGTGTGTTGTTTTTAGCCCTTTATTAATTTGTTAAGAGTATGTATTTTTCCCACATGTGGGGCTTTCTTGATTGTGTAATAAATGAGTATTATCCACGGCTTTCTTGTGCAGCGTCTGTTGAAGCCTGCAGGAGAAACATTAAGTTTAATGGTTCAGTGGCATCTGCGAAGGTGGAGTCGCACCTTGCTGATGCTAGAGTGTACATGCTTACCCACCCAAAAGAATTTGATGTGGTATGCACCTGTTTTAAATCATTTTATAATTGGTTATTTAGTGTTATGATTTTTGCTTTATCCCCTAAAATTGTTATTTACAGGTCGATCTTGATCCTTATGGTTCACCATCTGTTTTCCTGGACTCTGCTGTTCAATCAGTCGTTGACGGAGGCATATTAATGTGCACAGCTACTGATATGGCAGTGCTTTGTGGGGGCAATGGCGAGGTCTGCTATTCCAAGTAAGAATCTTTATTTTATTTTATTTATATATATTTATTTTTAAATGAGTGAATTTATGAATCTATGCGAGTACAATTAGCTCTAACTCGATTATTGCTGTTGAACTAGATATGGCTCTTATCCGTTGAGAGGAAAATATTGTCACGAGATGGCTTTGAGGATCCTTCTTGCATGTATTGAGGTAAGTCGATATTCTGAAGTTCCTTCGTTAATTAATTGAATATTATAGGTCGGGTACCTTAAATATTGTGCAAGTGAAAAGACAGAGCTGACTTTCTTAATTTAAAATGCAGAGCCATGCAAACCGGTACAAGCGGTATATTGTTCCCGTGCTATCAGTACAGATGGATTTCTATGTGCGGGTTTTTGTTCGTATATATACGTGAGTGTATCTCTTTTCTAAGTTTCTCAATTTATAGTGGCAATTACTTAGGTTAGACAGAGCCATAGGTTGTCTGTTAATAATGTAGATTTGCACATCTCATTTATTACGGAGGAATTTGTTTGCAGTTCTGCTAGTGCGATGAAGAACACTCCTTTAAAGCTGTCGTATGTATATCAATGCACTTGCTGTGATTCTTTTCACCTTCAGCCTATTGGAAGGACCGTCACTAAGGTATGCAATCGACACAAATTTCAAACTCTCCAATTTGAACGGTGATTCTTTTTTTGTCAGAATACACTAAAAAAAACTCCTTTTTTCATCGTTCTTGTAGAATACGAGTGTGAGATATCTTCCTGGATTTGGTCCTGTTGTTGCTCAAGAATGTAGCGACTGTGGGAAGAAATACAATATGGGTGGGCCCATTTGGTCTGCTCCAATCCATGATCAAGAATGGGTTGCCTCCATTCTAGCAGATGTAAAGTTGATTAAGGATCGCTATCCTGCTTTCAGTCGGATTTCTGCTGTATTAACCACAATTTCAGAGGTATAACTCTTTAACCTTTTAAGTGTTTTTTCCACATTCTCTCGTAGAAATTGAATCAAACCTATTTCCAGGTTTATTTATCCGATTATGAGAAAAAAAATTCTATTTATGTGCAGGAATTGCCAGATGTACCACTGTTTCTCAGTTTGCATAACCTCTGTGCAACGCTAAAATGCACATCTCCCTCAGCAGTTATATTTCGTTCTGCTGTGATTAACGCAGGCTATCGTATTTCCGGAAGTCACGTAAACCCCCTCGGTCTCAAAACAGATGCTCCAATGGATGTAATATGGGATATTATGCGCTGCTGGGTAAACCACTACAAAATGCCCCCTAATTTTTTTGATTATTTAATTTAAAAAAAAAGAAGAAAATTTCATTATCAAAAATATTACTTTCCAGGTAAAAAACCATCCCGTGAAAGCTCAGCTGCCCGATCAAGCTGGAAGCGTAATCCTTGCAAAGGAACCTGTTCTACAGGTTAATATTATTAACAAATAGAATTTGTTTAAATTGTTGGTTTTGGAAGTGTAACTGTACTAACTGTAGAGAGGTCTGTACTCGAGCAGGCTAATTTTGCACGAGCTGTAGCTTCGCTGAGTAAGGCACAGGCGAAAAAGGTTGCGAGGTTTCTTCCGAATCCGGAGAGGCATTGGGGGCCTAAGCTGAGGGCGGGGCGGCAGATTACTAGCAAACACGTCTCTCTTTTAGGTGCGGATGCAGTTAACGCAGTGCATAACTACCAAGAAGAAGAAGAAGGTGGTGGTGACGAAGATGAGAGAGAAAGCAAACGTAAGAAGACGGAAGATTCTACTTCTACTAATTGAAAAAAAAAAGCAGATTATAATTAAGTTGTTTCTTCTGCTGCATTTACTTTGCTTTGCAGAGACGAGTACACTTCCATTGAGCAATGCACACGGCGCATGCATCAAGTAGTCGATTTTGTTTTTACCTGTTTAAGGCGCAACCCCAGTATTTTTTTCTTCTTTTTTTTTTTTTCTTTTATTTTATAATTTTGGTTGGTGTTCTTCTTCTCTATTTTTTTTTTTTGTTTTTTTTTTTAGTGTAATTGGGGTCTGCAGGTGGACTATTGTACTAGATTTGTTCTTTCTTATATTTTTTTTTTTTGGTTTTCTTCTACCATTATTTATTGCAAGAGAACGAGGTCAAATAAATTTTGTTTTTCAATTGTTATAGATATTGTAATCATCATTTTGTTTTGGATTTACATTTTTATTGATGGAGATTGTTGTATGACACAAGTATTAACTATGGGTGTTCATTCAGTAACATCAATGAACTGTAAATCTCTTATCAAAACTAAACACGTATCTTCTACAATCGGGTAAAAATCGACGAACAATTAAGTCGTTGTAGTTTAGTGGTAAGTATTCCCGCCTGTCACGCGGGTGGCCTGGCCCGGCCCGGCAACGGCGTTTTAGGGCTAGAAAATACCAACATAATTACTGTCGTTTTGTAGAATTTATATTATGTGAATCTGACACACAACAAAGTCGTTGTAGTATAGTGGTAAGTATTCCCGCCTGTCACGCGGGTGACCCGGGTTCGATCCCCGGCAGCGGCGTTATGTTTTTGTTTTATTTTTTATTTTTTGTAAACCAGAGCTTTGTAATTCAAATAGCTGTGCAATTGCTAATTCAAATAGCTGTACAATTTTCGTGGCAATGTAATCTCTCATTACACCCTTAGCTAACGTATATATGTCGAGTATAGCTCACGTATTTTTTAATTACGATCATGAGTGTATATCTGTCATCGTTTTTATTATTATGGCAATGTGAGTATCGTATTTCGAAGGGCTTTCCTATAGCTCACGTATTTTTTAATTACGATCATGAGTGTATATCTGTCATCGTTTTTATTATTATGGCAATGTGAGTATCGTATTTCGAAGGGCTTTCCCGTTTCTGCAAGACTAGTGTAAGTTATATATTGTTTTGAGAAGGTTTGCTTAAATAAGTTTATTAATTTGAGTCTCGATTATCATTGTATAGGTCGAAAGGTTTATTACAAGTCGGAATTAAATCCTCATTTTGTTATTGCAATATTTCTTCGGGCGGATTCGCATCCGCAACGAAGATATCAAACTTTGTTGAAAAGCTAAACTCTGTGTTAGCTCCAAGGCTTAGTCGGAATCGACGTACGATAAAATCTCAATTACTTCTTACTTTCACAATTCAAACCAAAATCAACTAGTTTCTCACTTCTTATTCGTAGGATCTCTATATATAAAAAATAACCACCTAACATACGAAAATTGCCGAAAACAAATTGCAAAAATCAAACATAATATTAAAAAAAAAAAAAAAAACAAAGGCACAATATTCTTTAGTTAGCCTTTGCAGGATTAAGATCATCCCAAGCTTGAATCCAAGTCTCCATTGCATCCGCAAGCTTCACAAAATAAGGGTCGACTTTTCCAAGCGTCTCCTTAACTTGCTTCGAAAGTTCGACGTAGCACTTCTGCACGGTGGTCGACTCTTTCGACAGGGTGGCCGATTGGAAGAATGGTATAATCTCTTCTTGCCAGAATATTCCCTTGTACTCTTTCTTCAGGTTCACAAACGGGTTGCTCGCCTTGCTGTGCCAAATATACGGCAGCCCGGTTTTCACCCCCAATCCCAAATGATCACAAATCACCTATAATCAAATATATGATAATTACCCGATTGTATATAATTATTTCTATATAGGTCTACGATACTACACTACTCGAAAAATAATAATTCAAAAAAAAACATGGTGGGGGCCTTGGCCCCCGGTGCTACCTTGATGCACCAGCCAGCCCACATATCGTCGTAACGCCCGATTGGCTGACCATCACCCATGAGCCCGAAGTACATAGCGGGGCCGATAAGATCACGGTCGAAGGCCAGATTCATTCCGCACATGGGAAATAGGGTTCCCTTTGGTATTGTCAACACTGCATCAACATACCTAATACACACACCATTTTACGAAAATTGTAATACTTCGAGTAAATTAAAATAATTGCGAATGTCTTTTTTTTTTTTTGTTTTTTCGGTTACCTAGTGTTTCTCTCGCGGGGCTTGACGAGCTGCGTGGGAGCATCGTAATCGGGTATGTTCATCCATAGCCCATGAGAGACAGCTGTCGGGACCCCCTCTCGGAGACTGAAAGGGTAGCCGCGCACGAAATCGGCGCCTTCCCTAAATGGATCATACAAAGTGTTGAAGAAGAGTGGTGTCGACGGGCACAACAAATTCTTGATGTGTTGTTCGAGCGCATTGATTTGTTTGCCCGTTGGATCTTTCGCAACCTATATTTAGGCGAAAAAAATTGATTTAATGATTTAATGACAAGTTTTGATATTGTCAGCTAATGTTGGATACGTATATGTGTACGATACTTACGAAGCAGTCATCATCAATGGTGAAGATGTACTTCTTCTTGGAGACCATATAGCCGAAGCAACGACAAGCGGAGTCTTTGAAGGAAATGCACGATGCCTTAGGGCCGAGGATTCGGTTAATGTCGTTGCGGTTGTAGAGCTCGTAGTCGAATCCCTGTGGGACGCTAATGGTCTTCGAAGGGTCACCATCTTGTACTATGATCAAGTGGTATTGCTCGAAAAACGGCCTCCACATTTCCAGGAAATCGAGGTTTCTGATCGTCGGAATCACAATGTCGAGCTCGTCTTTCAGCGGCGGTGGTGCGGCGGCCATGGCGGCGGTTGATGGAGGAGGAGGGAAAGAGAGAGTGAGAGAGGTAAAAGGTGGTGGTGGAAGATGAGTATTGTGAGTTGTGAAGTGTGGGTGTGAATAAGGGGTATTTATTACGAGGGAAAAAAACGCGGGACCGGTGGGAACGGTTTTTTTGTATGGTTGGGGAATTGTTCAAACTTCAAAATTAGGGCGTTGACCCGATTTTACTGTTGTACCTTTTGCTATTTTTATTTTTTATTTTTTATTTTTTATTTTTCAACGGATGGTGTATATAGTTTTTGAAACTGACATATTAAATAAATAAGTACCATTATGATAATTAAATGTGACTTAATTGTTTGCTGAAAAATAAAAAAACGTTTTCATTGGTCAATTAAAAACGCCTATGTGGTGATGAAATTATAGTAGTAAGTACGTTTGCACTTTGCACCATATTCTATAGTGTCACTATTAATAATTTGGATAAATTACAAAAACCCCTTGAACTTAGGTAAAATTATGAAAAGTACCCCCACCTCTTGGAAATTACCAAAATCGACCCATTGTTTGTTTCCGGTTTGATTTTTGACAGAATCTTTTTTCTTTCGTAGAATATTTCTCAAAAATATTAGTTCTACCTTTAAGAACAGTTTCTTAAATGTTGGTCGTCTTGGTAAACTTTCAACATTAATATCATTTTCTTCAAAACACTATCAAAATGAATAATATTTGTTTGTACCTTGCTCTCGAGAAGTTGTGCTTCTTCTTAGTTGGAAAATATCAGTCCGACATCGATTTATCGTGCAAGTTTTTACGTGTTTAAAACATTGAAATTGTAATGTTAATCAATTTCAAATTAGGGTAAATTACAACCATCTCTGAGGTATGGTCAAATTATGAAAAAATCCCTACTGTTTGAATAATTGTAATTACTCCTCAATTATGAATTTTCTTACACGTCCACCCTTATGGTGTCAAATCAACATAACTCTCTAAATTTCGTGTAATGTTCTCTTATTTGTACTCGTTTTGTAGAAAAAATGTAGTTTCTGACCTCGAATGGGATACAACAGGTACAAAATTAAGAACATTACATATAATTTAGAAGATTCTATTAAATTTAACAGCGTAAGGGTGGACGTGTAAAAATATCTATAGTTGAAGTGTGGTTGTAAATTATCCAAACATGAGGGATTTTTTCGTAATTTGATCATACACGGATGGTTGTAATTTATCAATTTCAAATTAATATATGTTGAGTAAATAATTTTGATATTCAACTCTAATTGTTTGAATTAAAATCGTTTTATTATCTTTCAATACTTTAATCAGCTGAAATAGCCCGGGGCGCCAATTACCCCGCGTAAATTTATGAGCTACAAAGATTCGCCGAGGTCTGTTAATGGCGGAAATCGGTATCGGAGAGGAAGAATGGAATTACCCGCAATAAAAATTGTTAAAATTGAGCTTCTTCTTCTCATACCTTGCTGTAAATTTTTCTCCCCCCAATTTCTTCTCAATTGTCTCTTTCTACTGACTAATTATCGTGTAAATTTCATCTGTGAATCACTTAATTACCGATTATTTAACATATTAAATTATATTGCAGATCTACGATTCACCACTGTAAAACCCTCACTCCGCCGTACCCAATCGTCGCTGAACGGTAAAAATTTCATTTCAGGCAAAAATAAACTGCTGTTTATTTATATTTTATTTACACAGCAAGTTCTTCTACCCTAGAAAAAATGGGCATTCGATTCTCTAATGCATGTGTTAGGTGAATATTTGTTTTTGTACATTCAAAAAACCTACTCCGATCTCTGCTTTTAGGTTAATTAATTCCTTTTAATCTTCTTCTTCCCCACATCTGTACACTGTTTGATTGGGTGTGGTTAGTGAGCAGAAACCCTAATTCGAAGTCCATTAGGCGCTTCTACCCTTGGGAATTTCATCAGTTTATCTCCACCTACTTCTTCCCATTTGTATTTCGTCACGAAATAATGAAGAAACGTCGATATTTCGGCCAGTCCGAGTTCCTTCCCCGGGCATTGTCGAGTTCCCCCTCCGAATATCATGAAATGGTGTTGATTTTCTATTCCCTTTTCCTGCAATTTAGAAAAAAACATTAATCGGGTTAATTAGCGATTAATCGTTGTGTAGTTAATGACTAATCCACTCATTCGTTAATGCTAATTAGGATTTAAGAGGCTGTGTGTGCTCACCAGCCATCTCCACGGATTGAATGTAAATGGATCGGGATAAAGGCGTGGGTCGTAATTCACCTCCCTCGTATACACGTAAATTCTCCACCCCTTCGGAACTAGATATCCTGTAAAAGTGAAATTAACCACAAGGTTAGCGAAAACTAATACGTGCTCGTTATTCGTTTACTACAACCTCGTACATTCGGCCCGAAAAAAACGAGTTTTATTTGTTGGGTTAACGAGTTTTATTATTGCGTTATAGTTTCTCGGGGATTTGACAAAGGAATAATGTTTGTGTGACTGATTGGAAAATGAACACTTATCCGAAACCATAGACAAAATAATTCCTTTGCACCACAGATGGGTCATGAATCGAATGTCTTTGTGCTGGAATGGTAGGTTTTCCATGTGGATTTGTGATAGGGTAGGGCCCATTTACAAATTTCATCTCTTTCTCTATGATTGCTCTTATATATATATAATATATTATATATATGTATATGTTTATGTATATAAATTGAGGCAGTAAAAATTCTGGTTTCTTGAAATTGTGAAAAGCATGAGATGAATATGTAATAAAATGGTAAGAGAATTGTGCTCACCATTTATTTCCATATCTCTGGTTGTTTTCCTCAAGACACCGTTGACTATTGTAGCAAGTCTTGATGTCTCAAATATGACCTGTAATAATAATAACTCAAGTCCATTAGCTTCAAACCTTTTTTGATAGCAGTAAATAAAATTTTGTTTCAGAACAAGAGTTTAATCGATACTCACCGCACGTGTGAATCTCATTGACTTGTAGTCATTGTAATCAATAGGATCCTCAGGCTTCTTTCTCTCTCGTATTGCCATATGTTCTTTCTGCAAAAACAAAAAAATCGAATTAGATTTATTCAGTATTGGTGCACTAATCATACTTTTACGAACTCGATTTTTCGACTCACCCTTAGTTCTTCAAGCACTTTGGGATGATCATGTAGATACTTGACAGCCATCATAGAAGTAGTCGAAACGGTTTCGTAACCGGAATACAAGATTGTAATGATCAAGTCGATCATTTCTTCGTTATTCAATTTATATTTACTATTTTCGTCGACTAGAAGACTAAGCATATCGTGTTGATTTTCACCGGAAGCTCGTCTTTCTTCCACTAGCTTCCTCAACAAGCTTGTGATGTTTTGTCTTGCCTGTGATGCATTATTACATCAATTAGCTTTTCGTATATTCGGGATTATTTGAATTGTACGAATACGCGGCGAAGAAAATTTACCTGAAAACCCCGGTGGTAATTTGTGCTGGGAAGGTTGATAGGCAGTGAGAGAGTTCCAAGCACTAGTTTAAAGAATTCCGGCATGAAATTCTCCGATATCGACATAGCTTCTTTGCTTGCTATTTGTCTGAACGACGATAGAAACGCCATCTGAGAACAGAGTAGTAGTAGTAAGCATATATATTACACTACATGGTTGTTTGAATTTGAATTTGAATTGATTAGATCTATGTATGTATATTTGAAAAATGCAAACCTCTTTGGTTTTGTCTTGAATGTCGATAACTTTGTTATCCCAATCGTTTAAATGCGACCTCATGAAATCGTCGATTTTCGGCAGGAGTTGATCTTTAATCATGGTTGGGCTAATGAGGGCAAGGAGTGCACCTCTCATATGCTTGTGTGCAGAGCCATGGATAGCTGCAATGTTGCATTTGCCCAAGATATCCAACATTGACTGTGGATAACCAGGTACAAGCCCTTTTGCTTCATTCATTAATATATATCTGTTCAGCTCTGGATCCATTGATACTATTGTTGGACACCCTAGTATATGTGACTTAAAGAAATTCCCAAACCTGTAAGAAAAAAATACTCTGTTAAAAAGATAATTTTTTTTAAACTAAAAATAGTTGTAAGAAATGTAGTGAGAGAGAGTAATTATACCTTGATCTTTGGTTTTTCATAAAGGCAGGGCCTTGTTTGAGAAACTCAGTAGTTTCACCAAAAATTGGCCAACCCATGGTACCAGGAGGCAAGCCTTTCTTCCTGTACCTGACTTCATTCCATCTCAGCAAGGCAACACTTAGGATGCAGAATCCCCAAAATACCCCTAGGATAACAGCCAGACCAGCCATTGATTCGAGGAGAGAATGGGGAAATGGGAATGGGGGAAAGGAGAAAGTGAGAGCTCTGAAAGTTATGGGGGGTTTCTGCTCTAGTTTTGTATTGGCTGTTCATGTGCTCGTGCGGGTGTTTATATAGACCTCATGAAATCAATATGTGTAGAGAGAGAGAGAGAGAGAGAGAGGAGAGAGAGAAGGGAGGAGAGAGAGAGGGGCCTAATACGCCAAAACCATGCACACTAGAAGGATAGGACCTAGAATTAAAAAAAAAAAACCCTGAAGGAAATTAATTTTTTTTAAAGGCACAGTAAAGAAATTAAATTTACCAGAATCTTGATACTTGCATGCTGAAAACCGGTTGAGCATTGTTTTTCAATTAAAAAAAATTTTGTTCAGCTGGAATCTACTTAATTTTTTTTTTAAATAAGATTAGTAGCTGTCATTCTTAATCATTAGGTTAATTATTAAAATCTTGTGTTGAAAGTGTTTAAAGATTAGATAGGAAAACTGTGTTTGACTGATGTTAATTAGAATTTTCATAGGCAGCACAGAGAGAGAGAGAGAGAGAGCACATGCACGCCACCCTAGTTAGAACAAAGCACTGGGACTATGTGGTTCACATGTCTGTCAATAGATAGATCTGTACATCCTGAAATTACAAAATAGTTAGAGAGAGAGAGAGAGAGAGTTTTAGAGAGAGAGAGATAACAAAAGTCACTAGAGACATGTTCTTGGTTATTGTAATAGAACTTAACAAGTCATAGTCTTTGTGTACTTTTATTAGATTGAAATATATATAAATGTATATAGGGTTATAGTTCCCAGTAGTAAGTTCTCCCGTGAAATTTGACTTTTGGACTGTTTGAAATCTTTGAATCCAATAGTTGCCCATGTTCTAATCTTTCCTCAATTCCCTAAATTTCATTTGATTTTTGGAGCCTTGTGCCAGGGTGTGAGAGACTATAAAATATACAGGGGAAAATAGGGCCTTTTTTTTTTTTTTTTTTTAAATTGCTAGTTAATGGCGTTCCACTGAGCATGATTTATGATTGGATTCTTTTTGGCAGAATTAAATAGTTATATATTAAATAAAACAAAGTTAAACATATATGCTAATCACATCAAATTATTTGAAATAAGACTACGTAATTAATGTTTGGTTCTGTTTCCGTTTTACTTTTATTATGTTCCTGATAAAATTCGTGTTTGTTTGGCTTTTCAAAAAAAAAATTTGAAAACAATTTCTTCTAAAGCACTGTCTTCACTAAAAAAACGAACAAACATCACTTTAGTTATCAAACTTCTTCTTCTAAAATACATTTTTTCAAACAACTTTAACACATGATTTGACTTGTACGACGTATTTTGTCTAATCTCAAATCATAAACAAATTATTCCTTCAAACCATATTAATAAAATGAAAATAACTCTCAAAACCATTCCAAACATTGTCTTTCAATCGAATTTGAATTTTGGGATACAACTTTGATGACTTCAATTCATGGTATTTTAATTAAATACTAATATTTGCTTAGTGTATGCTAAAAATCACATTATTTTAGCCCACTCTAATAGAAAATCTTGCCTCATAAATTTGATAGACTAGAATATTAGGGAAATTCGTTGATAATTATTGTAATGTCAGATTTTTTTTTAGCGTAATAATGCATGGTTGACTGCTTTGACTAAATCAATCCCTATCCTCCATGTGAACATGGTTATACATACTTGCTTATATTCAGAGAGGTTCAAGTGGCTGTGGGTATGCATGCACATTTAATTTGGGCACTTAAATCAATAATAATAATAATAATAATAATAATAAATTAAAAAAGTTATTATAATTATTATTAGATACTCCCTCTGTCCCATATTATATGTCTTTCTAGGGAGTTTTTTTTGTCCCAAATTATTTGTCATTTTAGATTTTCAATGAAGCATTAATTGCATTATTTTCAATTTTACCCTTAATCACTCCTAATTAATTAGTTGAGAATCAATTAATGTCAAGGATATTTTTGTAATTTTATATGTTTTTTTTACTATAATTTATGCACATTTATTGATTTTCTTAATATGTGCAAAACAATCCAAAACGACATTTAAATTGGGACGGAGGGAGTACTAGATAGATATGGATGGTGGTTATACATTTGATTGGGAGGGATATAAGCCATGCAAAAAAAAAAAAATGGTGAGGCCGTATAGAAAAGTCTGCATGCTTGACTAATGAGTAGTCCTCTCATTCTCAATTCAATTCTAATATCATCAGTCGGTAGGAATTAGGGTAAACAGTGTAATATAGAGGCGTAAGACAGGGTTAGTGTTGTAATTTAACATAGTAATGTATCTAATTTCATCTCATATTGTTTATTGACTTAGAGAAGGTGACGATGGTGATGGCTTTTTGTCATAGGGTGGAACAAAAGGGAGGTCTGAAAATGACTTGAAGAGAAATGTGGATCCTTTGTGGAGATCCGATCCTTCGATAGGGATTTGACACTACTGCCACTGTTACCCTTTTCCTACATTTCTAACCCATTTTCTAATCAAGGTAATTAACTGTTTGTTAATCTCTCTCTCTTTTATTTATTTGCATTTTTTTTTTAATTTTTATGTTTATTAATTGTTGGAATTAGGGTAAATGGTTGCATGCTTCATGCTTAATGTTAATTAATTCTAAAACAAGGCCATATAGATAGATAGTATCATGATGGTTTTATTTTTATTTATTTAAAATATTAGGAAAATTAAATGGAATTATTAGTTTTGGTGTCCAATCATAGCGTGATTAAATGTGTGTTTCTGAAGATAATAATTTTATTGAGGTCAGTTGTTTTAGAGAAACCGATAAAAGGGATATTGCCGACAGGTACACGAATTAGGGGATTGAAAATATATAAAAATTAAATAAATACTTCAAAAAATAAAATTAAATAATTTTTATTCAAAATTTTCGTAAATATGTATAGTGGGTCAGAAGAAAAAGATGGGGATGTATGAGTGGAATCGCACAGGTGTGGATCTAAAGGATGTGTGTGTATATGTGTGTGTATGTGTGTGTGTGTGAGAGAGAGAGAGAGAGAGAGAGAGAGAGAGAGGAATGTCTACTACCCACACGCACACATGCAGAGCTGAAGTGGAGAAGTTTCTGCTTCATTAATTGTGTGTGTGTGTGTGTGTGTGTGTGTGTGTGTGTGTGTGTGTGTGTATTACATAATACAATCAAAAACTCCAGAGGTGCACGAGGGCCTCCATTTTGTTCTTTTCTGCTTTTTTGCTAAAGTTGCTACCCAACCCCCCACCCCTCTTTACTTCTTCTCACCCCCACCCCACCCACCCTCACCCCCTACCCCCACCCCACCCCCCACAATTATTTTTCCTTTGGAATTATTGCAATCACATTTCCCCCCTCCATCCCTATATTACTTGCATTATCGATTCAATAATAATGTATTTCTTCCATTTAAAAAATATATATATATAACTATATAAATATAAATATAAATATGCCATTCTAGATATACACCAAGTTATAGCCGACGACTCCACCAAATCCCTCGGTCTTTATTATTCAACTTTATTTATTTTATTTTCGGGACATTGTATATTTTTAGGATTATTATACACCATTGCAAAGATGATGGAGGCCTAATTAATATATGCATAAAATTATTGCAACTAGATATGGAAATAAATGCTGAATTTAATTTCTTGATTCGATTTTGATTACGTGTTCAATTTTGTGTGGGTCTTTTGATAAATAAGATAAGTCTCCGTTCACTCTTCGTGGGGTCAAAGTTTGCGATGATCCCACGGCTGCATTTCAATAATAGCTTAAACTGTTAGTTATAGTATCGAATTTGAGATATTAGTATTTGGTTGGGTTAATTGTGGATTAAATTTCAATAAAAGAACAAATGTAATATTAATTTTCAATTAAAACAAATCATTTGATATATGCCTTTTCACATTAATAATAATAGAAATAATTGTGACTCACATCACAAGGAAATGACATAAGACTGAATAGTTAGGAAAATGAAATAAAGTCCACGAAAACATATATATCAAGAAGGTGTGACACATGCACTTATCCTATACGGCTCAATTTAGGGTTTGGTTTCCCCCAAAGAATAATATGTGAAGTAACAGGTAACTGCTTGGGAGTAATAGCAGCAGGCAGCGTACTGTTAAATAAACTTAAAAAAAATATTATTATTTATTGCGTACGTGCGTAATTGAAAGTGACCGGGGGTAGAAGAAACATGGGCCTCTGATGATTGACTGCACGTGTGGGAGATGCATCCACGTGCACTCGTTTTTATTCACTGAAAATATATATTATGTATATATTTTTTATTGGCTTTTGTCTCTTTCTTTCCCATATTATTTTTCACGGAATTGAATTTTTGGTTTTAGAGTATTACTAATTCATTGCAAAAAATATTCTTAGATTCATTGAATTGCTAAAAAAATTCTTTGATTTAGTAAGTTTTTGTTATTTAAAAGTGGCATGCTAAGTTCTTTAACAATTAGAGTAAATATAGGGGGTGTCAAATCTAATAAAAATCCCATGTATGTACAAGGTAATTATAAAATTAGGTAACCAACATAAATATTTGAAAATTTGCTATTTAAATATGTTTCCTAGTTTTTTAAAAATTGTAAAATGAGGCATAGACTGTCCGGCAAGTATCGGACACGTTAAGAAATTAAAGTTTCCGTGCTACTTAGATTTAAGTCAATTTTAATCCACTGTGATATATATACAATAATATCTCTGTTTTTTTTTTCATTAAATTAAGTTAGTATATTTAATATTTTATAATTAATAAATTAGGGAAATAAGACAAGATAATATTCAATGAAGTCTTATCAGATGTAAGAAAAATGAAAGAGGAAAATTGAAAGATCAAGAAAAGATAAAGAGTCCCAATGCATTCAGTAACCTGTCTTGTTTATCTGATCACATCATTAAAATAAATAAAAATTAAATGAAACATGACCGGAAAGATAGCTTAAATATTTAGCTAACTGTCAATTTTTGGTGGGGATGGTCCCCATAAATGACTGTTGCTACCCCTGCTGCTGCTATACACTTGCAGGGTTAAATTTTATATTTAATTATTTATTTACTGCGGTGGTGGTGGTGGGATTAAATAATCAAACAAATTGCCGGCCAAGTTGCAGCCTTTGCTCCTCCGTCAACCGCCGCTTCCTTTTGCACTTTGTATTTACTATTGGAGTAAGAGAGACCGGCAAAGGGATGCAGTAAGTCAGTATATCACAGTTAATCCATTGTCTGGTTAAATTTTAGACCGGCAATATTTTTTTTGCTAAAAGTCTACATTGCATTAAATTTAAGGATAAATTACGGACACTCCTCCCATTAAATGTCAAATTACGAAAAAATCTTTTTTATTTGGGTAATTACTATCACTCCTCCATTATATATTATCTTACACATCTATTTTTATGGTTTCAATTACATCCATTAAAAAAAGGACAGTTTTGTAAAATAATACATAGTTGAGGAGGTGTTTGTAATTATCCAAACAAGAATGGTATTTTTCGTAATTGGATCTTACCTCTCGTTATTTGCCGTTTAATTAATTGCTTATAGGTGTTGATGTGTCAAGATCTTATTTGTGGAACCTTCCGTTGTAGCTTTTTCCCCCGCACGAGCTAATTTGCAATAATTAACACCCGAATTCACACGTGGTTGGGTGTGGGTTCACAAAGCATAGGGTTGAAGATGACCATGAAATCAACCATTGTATATTACTTACTAATTTTAATGTCGTTTTGGGACGATAAATCTTTTTTAAAAAATCAAATCGATGCTTAGTCTAATTGATACCTATAGCTTCGTTTATTGTGGGAAAGATTGGGCGTACAAATTCCATTGGGTTTGTTTTGCAATGGTCATTTAGGTTATTTCTATGACATACACATATTTGGGTTTGTTTTGCAATGGTCATTTAGGTTATTTCTATGACATACACACAAATATGTGTATGTATGTATATGAATGGTAAAGATATACTCGGTATAGCATAGTATAGATCTGGTCATTTACGGGACCAGTTGAAAAATTGATTGAAGAAGAGATATTTCAGTTTGATCCAAGTCTTATGTGATAAACGATTTAACTCCATGCAAAATATCCCGTCTCATGTCCCTTTGAGCCCATTTTATAAAACGTCTCGAATTTGTGTTGAACATCAATCCAGGGTGCTCGATATTTGATTCGAGGTCGTTCGTTATAACACTAAACTTGCTGAATTTTTTGTGTTTCTTTTTCCTATCTTTTTATCTAGTTGCACACTCGCAAATCTAATTGCAATTTTTTTATATTGGAAAAAAAAGAAATTGTCATTGCATGTAGATATTTTACAGACTGGCAACTTCTTTTCGAAGATAATAGATACCAACAACTAGGGGAATTTAAAAAAAAAAAAAAAAACAATGGAAGCAAATGTTGTCATGGGAAACAAGGAAAACAGGGTTGGGGTCATGTTGCAGGAAATTGCAGTTCGTGGGGGTGGGGGGTCAATTGGTTTTATGGAATTTATGAAGTAATGGATGTACCATTACGTAATGTTGAAACATTTTGATATGGCTTTGTATGTATATGAAATTCTTTTTTAATATCCAATAATAAAAAAAAAAGAAACACTTTAAATTTTTAATAAAGAGAGAATTGAGGTTTAGTTTGGCGGACAGTGATCTGGAAAAGAATCTGTATGTCGTTTATGAGGTTTCAACTATTATTGGGATACTTTATTAACAATTTCAATATTATTTTATTTTTTTTATTAATATGATTTGGGGTTCAGAATCTCAATGCTTAAGTGGTAAGGTTTTATCAATTTTATATTGTTGATTAATTAATATTATATGATATGATTTCAAGTGTTCTGAAAAGAATAATAAATTATTTTTTCTGACTATTTGTGTAACTTTTCTTTGCATGGACACGCATTTCGAGTAAACTTATGACTGGTGGAAAGAAATACGGTTATGCGGATGCTACACCCGGTTAAATAAAATTATACAACTTTGCACGCATCAGCATACATTTGTGTGTATGCTACACCAGGTGTAATACATCGGGTCATTATTAACGGATGATCTGCACATAATCACACACACTTATGTATATGTATGTTCAGTATCTGGTTATTTAACTACATCAACGATTAAAAACTACTCGATGTATACGACCAGGTGCATCATCTCAATAACTTTCTATAAGACCATAAAATTGGAAATTGGGTGGCCAATGGGTGTGAGTTGTTTTGTTAGGTTTTGATATATAGATAATTTCAAAGTTTAAAAGCTAATGATGTCTTAATTATTAGCTATCCAAAAGAGACTGACTACTCATTCATACAACTATGTTGTTTAAAGTAACTTTTATTATTTTCTTTTCAAAAGCTACAATTATTCCAATGAAAGACAATTTATTTGCTGTTAATTATCATTAGAATGAACTAGAATATATAAAAAAAAATATAGAGAATAATTCATCTATATATTCTTATTTTAATTTTTTTTGTGCTGTTTTAAAGATTTTTTTTATATTATATAATACCACTTCAGAATTTCGCTGATGCATTAAGTACATTCGTTTTTAGTCTTATCTCCATCATTATTAGTTAAACTCCCTCAAACATTAGTCTTTATTACATATATTTTCCTAAGATTTAATTATATTAAATAATTTTCATAATATATTTGTCAAAAATTTAAATTTGAAATGGATGGAGTAATTTAAAAGATTTAGATCATCAAGAGAAGGTACAAGCATGCCCAAAAGGGTGTGCTCCTCCAACCAACATATTGCTAAAGAATCTTAGCTTTAGGTTGGCTACCACTTCACAAAATCAATAACTCAAAAGAAAAATACGAAAATTTAAAATAAAAAAAAAATAAAAAAAAAAATAAAAAAATGAAAATAAGTAAATAAATTGAAATGCACCCCACCCCATGTGTGAATAAGGTCCCCCCATTGCAGTCTTTGTTTGATGCTCTCTTTTTTTTTTCCCCTTTACTTTTTGTCTTTGCCATTGTATCTTTCAATCTCACCCCATTTGCCACCATATATACATAATTAAATAACACACTTCTTTTATTATTATTTATTTTATTTATTTATTATTGATTAATATATTTATCTTATCAACTTTTTAAAATTTTCCCTCTTCAACTTCTCAAGTAGACCACATATGTCAAAAAAGAAGGTGCAAGGACCATGTGATCCGGTGACTGCTTGGCCACAATAAGCATGAATTTTAGCCCCTCTTGTGGGGCTTTCACCCCCCTCTTGTGTTGGTTTCTTATGTCACATAATTCAATTTTTTTTAAATTAAAAGAAAAAAAAAGAAAAACTTTGTGCACGAGCCCGAAGTGCATGTTACCCCCTCGTGGGAGTATCGTAATCGTCCTCGGTACGATAAATTGACAATTGACTTCTACCCACCCACATTCACCCCTATCCCCACATTTCTTTTTCCCTTTTAATCATAAAAGAGAAGTAAACTCGGAATTTATGTCCAATTATTCATTTTTTCTTCTCTTTGATATTGTTCCCGGTTGTCAAAGGCCCTGACCCGTATTAGTTTAAAATTACATATGTTATCTATTGAAGAAGATTTGGCAATAAAAAGCGATTTCACGAATTTGATAAGTTCTTTTGCAGCTTATAATGCAAAACGAATGAGTTTTCAATAATGAAAAGTGTACTTATAGTTTGATAGTCTATAGTGAGAGGGGTTTGGTTTGAGTCGACATTAAACCTCGCCTAAAGTCCTCGAATTCTCATGAACGGACCTGATTGTTTCTTGTGGATTTAGCTAAATAATGATCAAATTTCTCTATCTTTGCATGCATTAAACATTGTATTGAATTTGCATTATCAAAAAGTTTATCTTTGTGCAATTTATGTTTGGTTTGGGATTTGGGGTATGAAATTTGAGATGGATATTAATGTATATATCTTTTATTATGGAGGCAAAGAATGAAAGCACCCTTACATGCACATTTATTTGTCTTATCTCTCAGACTCTTATCTGACAATCTATTTAATTGCGTCCGATAAAGTAGGGGACCTAAAAAAAATAAAAAAATTAAAAATTAAAAATTAAAAATTGAAAATTGATATTAAAAATTGAAAATGATGTTCTAATAATTATGAGTGTTGTGTGTGTGTGTGTGTGTGTGTGTGTGTTGTGTACTACAATTTGTTGTTTAGAATGAGCCAGCTATTAATTATCAATGTGTATGGTGATAGCTTCGAATATACATAATCCTTATATATGAAAGTAATACAACATAGTTCATATAAAGCTCGGTTTGATGTATGTTTTGATTATGACCTATCACTTATGTGGTTTTACATAATAATGTTTCTTTCCTTTTCATATTAAAATTGACACCAACGATGCGTATATTGCGACGGAATTAAATTGATTGGTGAACTGATATGCTGAATGATCACTTTATCTAAAATCTATTACAGAAAAGGCAGCCAAAAGACTGTTCAAATTTTGCCCTAGTAAAATAAAATAACGAGCAATATGAAGCAAAGATTATCCATACACGATTGAAACAAAGTTTTTATTAAATCCAAAATGTCCGATTTTGGGGTTTGTTATGTTTTCTGTGAGGTAAATCGTTCGGTTTCGATGGGATTTCAGTGGGTATGACTCTGGTAGTACGTTGAATGATGATTTTATATGAAAGTTTAAGTTGTTAGTCAGATAAATCATTTAATATTCATATATCCGATCTGTTTTCGGGGAATTAATTAATTAATTAAACAATTTAACTCTGCAATATGTAATATAAGAGTAGGACAATGAAGAGTTCGAAATGATACTTTGACAAGGGCCTCATAACAAGAAATGGAATGTTAGATGGGCAAATCAAATTTATTATTATTATTAATTATTTTAGAGAATGAAATATATTAATTTAGTACACAATTAGTTGTGTTAGCAGAATCTTACGGAAAATCATGAGAGAGAGAGAGAGAGAGAGAGAGAGAGAGAGAGAGAGAGAGAGAGAGAGAGAGAGAGAGAGAGAGAGATTGTTGTCTAGGTATTAATTGGCGTACTTTAGTTCTGCATGGTTGCATCTTTATATCATGAGCCCCATTAGCAAACAATTACTTGTTTATTTTAATTTGTGCAGTATATGTATTTATATAATTTGTTGATATATTTTTTTGTACTAAATAAATTTTGAAGAATAAAATTTGATAATTTATTTTTTCTTATAAATATTTTTTTGGTTAATTAGTTTTAACAGATCTTAGGATCCGTAGCATGTGTTAGATGCCACAAAAATCCACCTAATCACATGCTTCCCACCCATAAAAAAAATTAAGAAAAATAAACAAGAAATGTTTCCATACCACCTTTTTTTTGAGCAAATTCTTGATTAGTTTTCTATTATCTCAATTTTGATACATCTAATTTAAAATAAAAAACAACCAGGACCATCATTAAATCAAGATTTGAACCTATTATGGAACCATGTTACTAAGCATATACCAAATGCCCAAAGGAAAAGTTATAAAAAAAAAGAATAAATAAGGCATAATTATTGTAAAACCATATTGTATGTATTGGAAGTAAAATTGAAGATATATATATATATATATATATATAATAAAAAAAAATTAAAAAATCAAGTGCAGCCACATAAAATAATCCTCCATGATTGGGCTTGACTAAAATAAAATTCCAGAGCAATGGTGTCAATAAATTGGGCTTTGGATAACTTAATATTTTAATACAAAATTGGTGGCCCGCTAATCGGGGTTAGGTAATTGGTTAGTTGTATGGGCCCACATAAAACTATAGCATATAGATAAAGCAAGATCTTTGCACTTTCTTTTACACTTGCAACAATTATATAAATTCGATAAATTAATATCCGATAAATCAGTAATCTAGTTTAATAATTTTTTTTTTCAGTTCTGATTCGGAGACAATGTGCTAAAAAAAAAAAAAACATGGTATATTACGTTTATGATAGATATACAAAGACTTACATTACATGATTCGATTTTCTTTTGTTTCTCGTTGAAGTTGACAATATCACATTAAATCACATCCTTCACTTTTCTTAATATAGTAAAAACCTTCGGCATACTTTTTTCATTGCTCAACAAAAAAATATATTCAATAACGTTGCTGCTCTAAGAGTTTCAGTCCGAGAAATAGGCTTTATAGTATCATTTTAAGCTTCATCATCTTTACCAGTCCCATAATATTCTCAATTGTTTATTCGTTAGTGAAAACATGTTTAAATTATACAATTCCAAGTTACTTTCCAAGGAAAAATTAAAATAAATAAATTCATATATATATATATCTCAATTATGTTTTTTTCTTTTTTCTTTAAAGAAACAATTATTTATTGAAATCGTATTTTGTACTTTGAAGCATATTGTTGATTACAAAACAGCGGGACATCCATCCATCCCACATTGACACAATCCATTATTATAAATTATTTCATGGCACTATACTATTAACACGACCTGTCATATCATATAAATTCAACTTTTTTAGGATTTTTTTATTACTTTAATAAGAATAATAATTTTATATGTTCGCCATCAAAAAAACCAAAATAATTGGAAGTCAACTTGTTGTGGGGTTTTACACTTTTATGTAGATATGCTAAAATTACGAAAGTCCCGGTTTATTTGGATAATTACAGCCACCTCGGTAGTTATATATTGTTATATACGTTCATTTTTACGGTGTCAAATTTACTTACCGAATAAATAATTTTTTCGTTAGACAATACATAGTTGAACAGGGTAGTTGTAAGTATCCGAACATGAGGATTGTTTTGTAAATTGAGTGTACATCGGGAGATTGTCGTAATTTGCCCTACATTTATTAGCCTTTCACCCAGTAAATAATTTTTAAAGAAAGAATATTTGTGGTGTTTCATCCCGAAAATCACTAATGCGTAAGTATTTTTCACGATTATTTGAAACAAATACCGAGTGTAGTTGAACAAATGAAAGAAAATTACCTACCAACGTCGTTATATTTTTATTTATTTTTTCGTTTCATTATTTTTCGAAAGAAAATTATATTTCGAAATTCAACTCATTACGAAAATGCACGAAATTTCGTGAAGACGATAGTGGTGAGTCGACTCGGTTTAGCCATGGAAGATGTCATTTTGGGGATCTACAGTTGGAACCTGGCTGCAGGAATTAATTAAATAAACTCTAATCAATTTCAGTTATTTCAAGAAAATATAATATGAAACATAATAAAGTATTACTATTTACTATTATGCTTATAGAAATAAAAATAAAATAAACTAAAATAAAAAATTTACTGATTAGTCCATGAAAGAAAACATTTTCTTCTTCCATTATGGGCTTATAATAGAGCCTAAAATAAGAATCGGATATCATGGGTTTATTCCAATTTGTACATTATGGGCTTATAAAGCCCGAATGTTATATTTATAATATTATTAATTTTTTTTTATTTATTTTATATAGTAGGTGAATAAATATCTAGAATCAATTTCGATTTTCGAATTGGATTTCGGAAAAAAATATTATTTCATTTCGAAATAATGATGCCTGGTGTTTTCGACTTTTTTATTTTTACGAAATTGGAATTAGTTTTTCATTTAAAAAAAAAAAAAAAACTGAACTTTTTTCTTTTCCGAAAATGATAATTCCAATTCGAAAATAAATGGAATAAAATTAAGAAATTAGGATTCAGAAATAGAACTTACAGTACATGAATGAACATCGTTGCATCCACACAAGAGTTCCCCATTTAACATGTCTGTCGCTTCAAATGTTCCCCCTCCCTCACTCCTCTGCCCGAATTACCAAAAAATATTATTAACAAAACAAAAATAATAATAAAAAAAATAATAATAAAAATACTAGTATGAATATTAATGACCTTATAAAAATCAACGGCGACAAAATTAGCCCACCGATTACCAGCGGCACCGTAACACGTCCGCAACATGTCGGAAAGGCCGCCGGAATTCTGAACACAGGCGATCGGCTTAATCGGAATTGTCCCGAAATAATTAACCAAAACCAATGATTTTGTTGTGTCATTAAGCACTGAAGACTCTCCCCTATTGATACAATCCCCTGCCTTCATTCCATCATCCCCATCTAATAATAAAAAAAAAAAAAAAATCATTAATTATTACAAAATTATATTATTTATCAATTCCAATAATTAAAAAAAATTAAAAGAAAAATAAGATTAACTTACATTGATTTTCGACCATGTAATTCCACTGATAAGCAATCCCTTCACTACTTTCCTTGGATTTTACGGAAGTGAAAACGAGTAGCCGTTGATTATTGGCTACCATGTCGCTAACTAACGGCCAATCCTGGCCGTTAGTTTTTGGCATTTTCGACAATGGGAACCAATATTTCATAAGACCTGCTTTTGTGAAAACGTTTGTCAATCCGTTCGTTGTTTTGACGTAGTCTTCCAAAATCAACGTCACAATTTCTGACGGATTTTTAGACAAGAACGCTTCGATTTCTTTCAATGCGTTTATCGCAGGTTCCTGCTCATCAATGCACGTTCGTTTAAATTTCGTCAAATTTAATGCAACAAATAAAAAAAAACAATAAATATAAGTACAATATAAGTATACAAAAAAAAAAAAGAATTATAGTTACAAATTTGGTGTAGTCGTGGCATTGGCCTCCGAAAGAATGGCACAACCATATGTCTTGTTCGAAGTCGTATGTATCGAGCATCAAGGCACGAACGCCGTTCTAATAAGGAGTGAATTTTCGTCATGAAATGTAAATGTAAATGTAGATGAAATGAATTTAATTTGGGGATCGAGTAATTTACAAAATGAACGTACGTTGAGTTGTTGAGTGATGCTGTCTTCTTGATTGGTGAAAGTAAGTCTCGGGACTCCATCTTCTATGGCGAAAGCGTTATGTGTTGTCAAAAACGCGTATTTGTTGAACGGAAGAGAGTTATTCTGTACATGTGCAATAATCACAACAATATACGAGCTAGTTAAGATTATATTTTTATGAGGTGTATACAAAAGTTCAAATTGAGGTGTGACAAAACTACCAAACCAAAATTCGTTTTGCTTGGCATTGGAATAACGAAACACATAAATAGACGAAAAATCGAAAGAGTAACCTACGATAGAGAGAAGCTTGTCGTACCATTCGCTCTAATCAGCCAAACGTTCGAGTTACGACACCTAGTAGTGGGGCCCACTACAAAATGCTAGTAGTGGGACCCTCTGTACTAGAGGCAAAGTTGATTAGTTTCTCCTAAATTCTATTCTCATTAATAACTCACATTCTATTAATGGTCCCAACAACCCCACAATGTCGAAAAATTTATATTCGTGTTGTTCGAAATCGAGTATGAAAATTTGTCAAATTGTCAATAGACACGTATATGTCTAAAATTGAAGTAGGAAAAAAATCAATGTGTGTGTGTATGAGAGAGAGAGAGAGAGAGAGAGAGAGAGAGAGAGAGAGAGAGAGAGAGAGAGAGAGAGAGAGAGAGAGAGAGAGAGAGAGAGAGAGAGAGAGAGAGAGAGAGACCACTATGGTGAACTGGTTTGTGGCGGTTGAACGAACACATTTGGAGCCATCAAATTCGGGTCGGCAAGTAAAGCAGTACATACCCGACCCGCAATCCGCATCCGACGAACAGTCATCCCCCACCTACATATAAGTATGAGAAACACACAGTAACACACACACTGATCATATATCAAAACAATTAGAAGAAAAAAAAACAAAATTAAATTGATTCATTACATAAAAATTATATCAAAATATATATATATATATACCTGGTTGCAGGCTCCATTAGAGCAGGCGGCGGCGGCGAGTTTTAACAGAAGAAACGCTGTGATTAATGGAAGAAACACTCTCTTCGCAGCCATGGAATATTTTGCTCTGTTGGAAAAGAAAATATTAATTAATTAAAATAATCTCAATGTTTGGATTGTTTGGGGAAGTTTATTTATTATTATTAATATTATAAAAACAAAATCAGATTTGTACAATTTAATAAAGGGTTATTAATTTGTCTGAGTAACCGAAGATTTATGTTTAATTTGGTAGGCATAATAAGAAACCACGTAATTGGCTATTTGGATGAAAGACATATGAATGGTCCATGATGTAATATAGTTCCAAATTTTGGAAAAAATGGTAAATTACGGGGACGCCCCTGAGGTATCGGTAATTTTAAATACGCCCCTCAATTGTTGATGCGCCTAATAATTATACTCTTGCGGAGCTATGACTAACGGAATCTTGAAAATTCTATGGAATATTCAATATGAATTTCCAAATCTACCTTAGGGAGTAAATGTAATATTTTGTCTCACTTGAAGGGTATCCGTAATTTACCCATAATTTGTTTGTTTGATAAAATGGTAGACAATTCATTCATTTCGTTATGATTTAGAATGGGATGTTAGTTCTAGGTGGTATTTGTAATTAGCAATAGTATAGAAGTGTGCACGTTATTTAGTCTTATCTGAGGGAGGTATCCGTAATTTACCCTAAAAAGAAAAGGGAAATTAAATTGAAATAATTGGTCATCATTTTGCCACTTTATAACGTCATTATTTAGAACGGTTTGAATTCTTCCTAGGTAGTTAAAGATTAAGGTATAAATCATGTGTTGTCTTTATAACAAACTTCAAGCATGTGTTTTCTCATATTAATATTACTAATTTTTCTTTTAAAATAAAATGGGTCTATATCTAATTTGACTATTTGAACATAACTTTAGTGGATGACAATATAATTTACTCAATATTTGGTCAAAATTCAAGTGAAATTTTAAACAAGTCAACGGTGAATTGGATTAAGTATTAGACAGTATCAATCTTACAGAAATGCATGCGTTTTATTTCAAATTGTAGACACGGTCCTTAATTACACGTAACCTCGAGGGAGATATGTGTAATTTCCCTAGAATTCAACTGTTGTGTTGGGCACTATTTAAAAAATAAAAAATAAAAAAAAATCGTACCATCAATAATAAAATAATATTTATATATATATATATATATATATATATATATATATATGTGTGTTTAATTTTTTAAATTTGTGACAAAAGATTGTCATTTGATTATGTACTAATACGTTATTATAGAGTATCATAGTATTAATAAAAAGTTAGAATCCTCCTTGTTGAAGCTTCTCCTGTAGTCTTCGCTGCAATTTGTTACAATTTGTTAATTTCACCTCCGCTTATTAAATTTAATTTAATCCAAACAAAATAAAGGAATTGAAAGTGCGACTTACAGCACATTGAAACACGTCTTTACGCCCACACGCGAGTTCTCCGTTTAAAGCGTCCACAGCTTGAAATGGTCCCCCTCCCTCACTCCTCTACATTATTTGAAGTTAATTAATTTAAGTCAAAAAAAAAAAAAAAATTAAAATTTAAAATTAAATTGACACATGCAATATCTGCAAAAATTGAAGGCTCAATATGCAATTACCTTGTAAAAATCGACGGCCAAGAAATTCGGCCATCTTTCACCCGCTGCACGATGACAAGTTTCAATCACCTTACGAAGGTCTTCAGAATTATGAATGCACGACATTTTCTTACTCGGAAGCGATCCGAAATAATTCACTAAAACCAAAGATTTACTCGTGTCGTTAAGACGAGAAGATTCCTCCCGATTAACACAATATGTCGACGTCATTCCATTATCTCCATCTAATTAATCATGAATACATGCATAATTATTTAATTAATTAATTAGACATGATTTATTAAGTAGTAATCATTAAAAATAATTTATTTAAATTATGATTTTTAATTATCTTACATAGGGTCTCGACAATGTAGTTCCATTGGTAAGCAATTCCTTCGCTCTTTTGCTTCGATTCGACGGAAGTGAAAATGAGTAGCCTCTGGTTTTTAGCAACCATTTCTTTTACTAGCGGCCAATTTTCGCCGTTTCTCGGCATTTTCGATAACGGAAATTGGTAATTCATTAGTCCTGCTTTTTTCAGCACTTTGGTCAGTCCATTTGGTGTCTGAACATAGTCTTGTAAGATTAACGTCACGATTTCTGTTGGATTTTTCCTCATGAATGCTTCGATTTCCTTTAGCGTATCAATTGCTGGTCCCTACCGTATTAATTAATTAAAATCAAATATAACATATATAAGAAATTAACCATAAATCAACGTTAATTTGAAGACTAATTTCTTTTTATCTTTCGAATATATACTTACGAATGCGGTAAAGTCGCGGCATCGGCCACCAAAAGAATGGCACAACCATATATCACCTTCGTAATCGTATATATCGAGCATCAAGCCACGGACGCCGTTCTATTTTATTATGCATGGAAATATATAGTTCATAAAGATTCATGAATGGGAAAAATATATATAATTTCCCTAAGTAATTTTTTTAATGTAATTAATTATGGAAAAACACACACAAACACACATTGAGCTGTTGAGTGATGGTGTCTTCTTGATTTGTGGGTGTGATTCTTGGAACACCGGTGTGAGATGGCTCCCCTTCTATTGCAAATGAGTTGTGCGTTGCTAAAAATGCGTACTTATTGAATGGTAGAGAATTATTCTGTCCAAATTAATTAATTAATTAAATTGATTTAATTTATACAATTTTGACATAGGAAAATTAAATTAAATAGAATTTATTAATTAGAGAGAGACCAATATTTTGAATTGATTTGTAGCTTTCATTCTTACACATCTGGAGCCAGGAAACCCTGCTTCACATGAAAAACAATACAGCCCGGATCCACAATCTTCGTCGGACGAGCATTCATCCATTACCTGCAAAAATGTAAAACGTAAAACGTAAAAAACAATTTTTAATAAAAAAAATAGCATTGGAATAATTATGAGAAATGTTTTTTTTTTTCTATAATCCAAAAAAATCAAGAGAATTATTTATATTATATGTTGTAGTACCCGGCCGCATGTTCCGTTGGAGCATGCGGCAGCTAAAGATAGCACCACCACCACCAACCCCGCGGCTGTGATGGGAAAATATATTTTTCTGTCAAACATGGCCCCGGTCCCGTTACTTCAATTATAATTTCGTGTTCGGTAATTTGTAAAATATGATCATGATATTATGACAAAAATGTGACAAATTAAATATTTTCCGACAAAATATGTTGGAAAATTGCAATAAATGCAACCCCCATGTTTGGGAAATTAGTAGTGTTTTCTCTTGCATTTCCGGTTCCAAATATAATTTCTAATTTTTAAAATTCGTAAACTATATATATTTTTCAGTTTTATATTTAATTATTCAATCTGAAAAAAGCCACTGCATTTGTTCATAAAGACATAATTATCCATTAATTAGAAAGCCCATAAATCAAAGATGGAATAAGTTAGTTGGGCTGCTAAAATTATTCTTGACCCAAACACTTAAAAGCCCAATAATTTGGTGACCCATTAATATTGATATTAGCTGTAAACCATCTTGTAATTTTATTACCAATTTTGCTCTAAAAGCGTCATAATTGAAACGCAAAAAGAAATATACCAAAATAATAAACAAATAAAATGACTGAAAAAAAGAGCTATTTACCCGGGCGTCCGGGACCGGGCGCCGGTTCGCCCGGGAAACGCCCAAACCGGGCGTCCAA